AATGCAGCATACTTATCTATTTCCAATACATATTAATCTACAATTATTGTTATTTAATGATGAAGCAGGTAATACATTCCAGTATTTTTAAGTTAACATTTTATTATATAAATTAATTTATTGTTTACTGAAAAAAAAAAATTAGAGTATCTGATTTTAAAAAATAAGATTAACCTGTTTTTTTATTGTTACAATTTTGTTGATCGACAACAATTTAATTGTTCATTCTAATATAGTTTTGAGAGGGAAAAAATTTTTAAAAAAAGTTACTAAATCAGTTACTAAATTGAAAAAAAAATTTAAATTTAAATCAGTTGCATGAACAATAATATTGGAGAGACGAATAAGTTTAAACAAATAATTATTGAACTGATATTAAGTAATTAGAAAATATGATGTATTTCTTAATTTCGTTTTAAACAATAAGGTTTACCTCAAGATGATACTGTATTTATTAGTTTGTTTTAGATCTGCTCCGGTCACCCGATTTTTCAGATCGACATTTGGGGAAGAAAGCAATTCCACAACGGCCAAAAGCTACGGTCAGATTATCTGAAAAGTTTTTTAGCAGTGGATTACTTGGACGTGCGATGATTTAAAATCGAGTGTGTCAAGACGCCGGAAACAGAGAAGGTTCGCGTAAGTCAATGAACATTTTAAAGAGAATGACGAACGCAACAGAGTAGACGGAAGCGCAATCGTCAAAAAATATGGATTAGGGTTTGGTAATCAGGTTTTATAATTGGGTTAATGGGCTTGGGTATTGGGCTGAAATGCAACGTAACTGGGTTATATAAATAGATAATTAAATGTTTATTGGGCTTAGCATTGCAGGTTTTATTTTTTCTTTCATGTCATGAAATATTTCATATTTAGTTTAGATTTATATATGTTGTACATATATAATTATTATAATTAAGCAATGTTTAAAAAAAGATTTTCGTAGTTAGTTTCAATGTATGATGATGATACTGTATTTTTTATTTATATATTGTCAAGTATATGTACTATAGGCTTTAATTGCAAATCATATTAATAAATGTTTTTATATATAAGAAAATTTAATTTCATAATTTTTTATTGTATATTGTTTGATTTCCTAATTTTTAAATTTTTTTTATAAAAATGTGTGTGTGTGTGTATATAATTATTTTAATGTACACTTTTTAAATCTCATGTGGTATGTTATAACACAATTCTTTATAATATATGCTAACAGTATGTGATGTTCGATATAACAACCAATTTAGTATTGTTAAAGAAAAATACATTTCAGAATAAGTTTTAATTTTATGATTAATATTTTATTTTATTGTTTTTAAAATATTATTAATATTATCAATAATAAAGTTACTTAAATTTTATGCCGTGCATCGCACGGGGCAAAAACTAGTTTAATTTTAAAGGAAACTATTATATTAACTCTTATTTTAATTAAAAATTATTTTTCTTTTAATTTATAAAAAATAATTAAATTAATTTTGTTTTATATAATTTGATATTATAACATCATATTTAGGGAGAACTTGGAAGTAACGTATAAAAAATGTTATTTGCAAAATATTTGAATTTTTAATAGTCTATTTGCATTTTTTTTTTTTTTGTTCAATAGTTTAATTGCACAATGTGTAAATGTTTAGCGGTATATTTGACACTTTTATCACTGAACACCACAACAACAATAATAAATTAGCTAACGTAGAACATTTAGGGGAAGTTGAAAGCGGTCGTGACACTCAAAGCACACTACTTTAATAACTAGAACTCAGCAATAATTATGGCTTGCCAGTTGCCATGTTCGGTTGTGTTGATCAATCTTGATTTCTTAGAAAAAAAAATTCTGAATGTAATTTTTTTTTTTTTATCATATAGAGGGGGATACCCAAAACCATCTGGTGGCCTCAATTAACTCTGGTACTCCCATGACATGTCCTCTGCCTGACCAAAGCACCGATCAGATCACGCTCCATGAGATCCCGAATGGCCTGAGGAGGCTCTGCTAGGTTGCAAAGACCAATCTGATGTAGCAAGGCGGATGACGCCAACTTGTCTGCAACCGAGTTCTGCTCCCTAAACGCATGCTTGTAGACGATATCCTCCAAGCCCTGCGCTTCACGTCTACATCTGCGCAAAATGTTATTACAGTGCACGTTCTCCTCTCGACCCTTGCTGAGGCTGTCGATTATCTTCATGGAATCCCCTGCCACAACCAATCGCCTGACACCATTGTTGATCGCCAGTCGTATGCCCTGTAGAACCGCCCAAGCCTCCGCTTCCTCCACGCTGCACCTTCCTATGTTGTAAGCATAGCCACCGCGCCAAGCCCCATTCATGTCTCTTAGAACGCCACCACAACCTGCAACGCCGTTCCCTTTACGGCATCCGTCCACGTCGACCTTGTGCCATCCAGCTGGTGGTCTCTCCCAAGCTGCCTGGGCTCTAGGCATGCGCGTTGCATGGTTTCCAGGGGTCCTAGCCTTCGCGAAAGCTGCTTGCACCTCAGCTTCGTATTTGCACAGCCAAGAAGACTTGTTCTCCATCGTCACTGACTTCCCTTTGAAAATCTCGTCGTTCCGCCACTTCCACATCCACCATAGACGGACTCCGAAGCGCTCCGGCCACCCATCTTCGAACCCTCTCGTTTTGTCACCTCGCAAATTTGCGTCGAGCCAGTCTTGCCAGCCCATGCTCCGAAGGATATCCGCTGTTCTTCATGGGAGAGACGAATCCCAGATAGGTCTGGCAGCGTCGCACCTTCGGAAGAGATGATCAAGGTCTTCGGCCTGGCCTGCACAACGAAAGCAGCAAATATCAGTAGCTATTTTCCTTCTTACCCGCTCGGCATTAGTAAGAATCCGCCCATGTTTTACGAGCCAAAGAAAAAAACAAATTCGGCCTGGCAACCGCATCTTCCAGATATGGCTCCAGTCCGAGGTTGGTTGGAGATCGACGCCATCGACGATGAGATCATAAGCGGATTTCACCGAGAAACGTCCGTGCTCATTGGGCCCCCACGCTTCGCCATCTGCCACTGCCTCCTCAGCCATAATGAAGCTCGCTAGCTTTTCTTTGGATTCCTGCGGTAAAATGCCATCGAGCTTCTCCCGCTTCCACCCCCGGGACCGATCCCAGTACTCCACCACGGGTGCATAGAGGTCCGGTAGACTCAACGGGGCTAACATCTGAGCATACAACGGATGTGGCGTGATCCACTTATCCATCCAGAACTGCGTCGACTCGCCATTGCGGACCACCTTGGTTACACCTTTCTCTAGGAAGCTCCATGCCACCGTGATTCCACGTCATGTATTCGACATCTTCCGCCTCCCTATGGATGCTTGCTGGTGGACACCTTCTTTCATGTACTTTGTGGTGAGAACTCTCGCCCAGAGACTGTTCGGCTCTACCCTGAGCTTCCACCCAAGCTTGGTCATGTAGGCTAGATTGGTTTCATGGAGGCGCCTTATACCAAGCCCCCCTACGTCCTTCGCTGAAGTCACCATTTTCCAATTTAGAAGACTCATGTTATTCTTGCCTTCACTCGAAGTACCCCAGATGAACCGCCTCGTTCTTTTTTCTAATTCCATACAGAGACTTTTGGGAAGGTATGCAGTTTTCAAGGTATAAGACGGGATTGCGTTCAGAACCGACTTAGCCAACACTAACCGCCCTGCCACTGGCAGAGATTTAGCTTTCCATCCTTCAAGCCTGGCCGAGACCCTATCGAGAATTCCAGAAAAAGTGGTGCACGTAACTCGGGTGTGGAGTGATGGTACTCCGAGATATTTCCCTAAGTCGCTTGTTTGAGTTATTCCAAGCCGGAGTGCAATGTCAGCTGCCAAACTCGACCCCGTATTTCGCGAGAAGTGGACCTGTGACTTGTCCAAACTGATTTTCTGCCCGGAAGCCTTGCAGAAACGTTCCAGGCAGTTTTTGATGATGTCCACTTGCTCCAAGGATGCCTCCGAGAATAAAACCATATCATCTGCAAAACAAAGGTGAGAAATTATTGGACCATGTTTAACCAAGCTAAAGCCTTTCCACTTCTTATTACCGACTTCCTCGATGATAATGTAGCTGAGACGCTCCATGCAGAGGACGAAAATGGCCGGTGACATCGCGTCGCCCTGCCGGATACCCCTACCTGGCATGATGGGCCCTAACCTGTCACCATTTCATGAAATGGATAGCCTGGGGGTACGGATACAGTTCATAATGACACGGGTCCAGACTGCATTGAAACCCGCAAACTCCAGGGATTCCTGGATGAAGTCCCAAGAGAGTCGATCATACGCTTTCTCAAGGTCTAGTTTGATGGTCATAAACCCAGTTGCCCCCCGCTTCTCCCGCATCGTATGCATAACCTCCTGATAGATTAAGACATTATCCGTGATCTGTCTACCTGGAACAAAAGAGCTTTGGAAGGGCCCTACAATTTTCGGGAGAATGGCCTTCAGCCTGTTGGTGATCGTCTTGGTAATAATTTTATACCCCATGTTACAAAGGCTAATCGGCCTAAACTGTTTTATAGTCTCCGGGGTTTTAACTTTCGGGATCAGGACCACTAGAGTGTCGTTAAGGCCTTCGGGGATAACGCCCGTATCTATAGCTTTCGTCACCATGCTAAAAATATTGTCACCTAAATCTGCCCAGGTATGTTGGTAGAAGGCTGCAGGAAACCCATCTGGGCCCGGAGCTTTATAAGGTTTCATGTCCGTAACTGCTTTATGGACTTCCTCTTTCTCAATCGGTCTGTTGAACATATGTCAATCTATCCAGGTAAGCTGAGGGAAGGATGGGATAAGGGCACCCGTAGAATCAATGTCGTGGTCATGCGCAAAGAGTACCGAGTAGTAGCTTTCTATATGGCGTCTGAGCAAAATATCATCTGTAATCCAGATCCCACGGTCATCCATGAGCCTCGTGCCCTTGTTTCTAGCTTTTCGGACAGTGGCGGCGGTGTGGTAGAAAGCGGTGTTCCTATCCCCAGAAGTAATCCATTATTCCCTAGACTGTTGGAACCACATCAGCTCTTCCTGGTACAGAACATCTTCTAGTTGTATGGTTAGCTTCCTTTGCAAACTTGCTAAGCCCCGGTGGTATGTGATTTCAAGCCTTCTCTGGATACCCCCCAACCGTGCCAGCAGCTCTCTTTTCCGTTTGAAAATGTTCCCAAAGACCGTCTTGTTCCAACCAGTTAATTTGCTAGCAAGATCTTGCAGGTTATTCTGGAGATCTTTCTCATGACTCCATGTCTGAGTCACCACATTCTGCCAATCTGGGTGTGTAGTCCAGGCTGCCTGAAACAAAAAACAAGCAGGTGAAAGAGGTTGAGCTCTCTTTTCCAAGTTAATTAAAATCGGGGCATGATCCGAAGCGAAACGGGGAAGATGGGTAACACAGACGTCCGGGTATTTTAGACGCCAGCTGATGTTACACATAGCCCGATCCAACCGTGCGCCCTTAATATGGTCTGACGCCCCATCTTTGACCCAAGTGAGTTTGGGCCCAGCAAAACCCAGATCAATTAGCCCCTCATCCTGGATCCAATTCACAAAGTCGGAGCTCCTCTGGGACGAGTATGAAAGGTAGTTCAGCGTCTCGTCCCGGTGAGTAACCGTGTTGAAATCCCCTGCCACTAACCATGGCCCAGATATATTCCTGTTGGTCTGATTGAGATATTTCCAAAGCCGGCGTCTGAGATGGTGGACAGGACTGCCGTAAACCGGGGCAAAGAACCACGGCGGCTTTCCCGCTTCTGTAATCTGCAAAAGGAGGAACTGGGGATGGGTGAAAAAAACTGAAACGTGAATCGAGTCCTTCCAAAATACCCAGATTCCTCCACTATAGCCAAAAGCCTCCACTCGGATCCAGTTCGGGAATCCCAGCTTAGAACAAATGGCATTGGCATGATTGCCAGAGACTTTGGGCTCAAAAAGCCCCATGATACAAGGTTTATAGACCTTGATCATGTCTTTAAGGGCACGGTGGACATTCTTGCCGCCCGCCCCTTGGCAATTCCAAAGGAGACAATCCATAAAACCGGGTAAAAGGGAGAAACAAAAGAAACGAACACCTTAAACAAAAACCAAAACGACAAAGCGATCACAAGACAAAAGGAACGAAAAACCTCACTGGGCACTTGGTGCCCGCACTGCTTCCCCGTGGCTCGGTAGTCCTTCCAGGTCCATTACCACATCTCCTTCTTCGTCGAGTTGTCCTGGCGAATCACTATGATGCTCCTTTGTTGATTGCCAGACCGGGGATGGCAGGTCAGCCACCGAATTCGAGATATACACCCGCGAGGACCGTATGACCAAACCTCCCTGTTCTCCTCGGACTACCACATGCTCATCTTCTTCTGCTGCTCTTCTGGGCCCCACTGCACCACTGCGGTGGCTTCCTCCTGTTTGAGCGATATCCCGAGATTGGAGGCCGCATGCCGGTGCTGGCTCATTCACGATCTGTTTCTCCGAGGCGATCACGTTAGGACGTCGCGCTTTGTTACCCGTAGTAGGCGTCGTCTGTGGCCTCCGGTCAATACCCGCCTCCTCCTCATCTATCTCTGCGTCACCATCTATCTCTGCGTCATCCGTCCCTGCTCCAAGATCTTTGTCGCCTTCCGCCGGAATCCCTACATCATCCTCCTGAAAAGACAAAGGCGCAAAGCGAGATACCTGTGCACCGCCATTGCGGCTTAGATTTCCTGTCTGACCTCGGTATGCTTGATCTCCCTGGGCCCTCTCTGGTGGTTTCTGTCGTCGGCGCGTTCCTCGCCCCGGCGCGATCATCCATTCTCCGAAAGGCTGATCACCAACCTGAGGACGTTGGTCGCCCGGTGCGGTTCTGGCCACCTGAACGGTTTGGGCGGGCTCCCTTGCCTTCGGATCCCCGTCATCCGCCACGGTCTCCTTTGTGCGCGATGGGCATGTTTCCAGCGAGTGTCCATAGACTCCGCAGGCGAAGCAGATCATGTGGACTCCTTCATAAGCCACATGGCGAACTCTGCCTTTGTAGGTAAACTTGGAGATCAGCCTCTTCGTAATGTCAACCTCGATGCAGATCCTAGCGAATTTCCCACGAGACACCAGGCTGGTTGCCTGATCAACACGAATGGTCTTCCCCACTTTGTTTTCTAATTTGCGTAAGAAGATTATGTTATAATATTCGGCCGGGAGACATGGTATTCGGACCCACACAAGCATCTTCTCGGTGGTGGCAGCGTATGGATCAAAATCCGGTTCCCATGGCTTAACAATCAGGTAATGATCCATTACCATCCATGGCCCCTCAAACATAGCGAACTCCAGATCTTCGACTGATCCAAACCGCACCAAGAAATAATCATTGTCTATCGCAATCAGATCCAAGCTCCCTTTGGCTTCCACATGGTTATCAGACGCCGCAGCAGGTACGCGTACCCGATCTTCCTCCCCATAACCTTGACTCTGAGAGCTTTCTGCCATGGTGCTCGTATGGCCTCTACCTCTGCCTTCGTCAAACGGATTGTCGGGCAGAGGGGGTCATCATCTTCCCCATCCGCCTCATCATCAGAGGTATCGTCCAGATCAATCTCCTCTATAGGCGGAGGCAGCGCTGCATGGCCTGACACACTTTCCGCATACGTTCGTCTCTGCATGGGGGCGGGTTGCGTCATTGGAGTCTCCGGCACCACCTCAGGCGATCCCTCGGGCAGAGTCACCAGCGCGGTCTCCATCGATTCGACCTCCGACATCTCCCGGCTTGACCCGTCGTCCGATCCGACATTGTGTTTCTGTTTCTTCGTACTCCGTTGAAGGAGATCGTGATCTTCCTCCGAGCGTTCTGTCGAGAGCATCTCAGTGTTCAGTATAAAGCGGATGATCCTATATAAAATTCTGAATGTAATACTCAACAATGTTTCACTTTATTAACTTTTCATTCTATATAAATTTTTAAAAAATAAAATTTATTTAACAATTAAGTAAATGATAATTCTATTACAACAGTGCACCACCCTAATTGATATTTACATCATATCACTCTTTAATAGGTTTGCTAGCTTTATAGGTGGTGTAAATAGAACAATATGCTATTTACACCACCTTCATTAAAATTAGTCAAATATTATGTTTTTATGTTTTAATAAATTTAAATTAAATAATTATTTAAATTTTAAATTAAAAAAAAAAAAAAAAAAAAAAAAAAAAAAAAAAAAAAACTAACCCCTCGCTGGCGAGGGGTTGTTTCTTTTTAAATTTTTTTTAATGTTTTAATTTTTTAACTTTAATTATTTAAACCCCTTCAAAAAAAAATTAATTATTTAATTAAAATTTATTAAAATAATATTTCTAATTCCATTTTAACGTTTAATAAATTTTAATGATAAAATTAATTTTATTCTTTGTTATTCTAATATTTTTTTATAACTCAAATTTTTTGTATGCATTATTTTTTGTATACCGGCGAGGAGTTGCTTTTTTTTTTTTTTAATTCTTTAATTTTTAATTTAAGTATTTAATTTAAATTTATTAAATTAATATTTTTAATTCCAATACTTTTTTAAAAATTCTAATTTCAATGCCTAATTTTTGTGTAATTAAATTACATTTGACAAAAGTGCTGTAAATAGTCATATTACACCCTAATTGTTATTTACACCACTTATAAAATTATTGACTTTTTCATCATTTTAGAATTCCAATATTAATTACACTCTAAGGTGGTACAAATAGTAACACACTTAAGTAAATTCATAAAGTATAATGCGCCATGTCTTACTATAGCTAACATCTCCGCACAAAATGTATAATCCAAATGTTATAAACACACCCTTAGAAACATTCTTGAGAAATTTACATTATTTAGTGGAATGTCATGTTTACAAACCAAATAAAGGCACAGTTGCAAAAACTGGCCTAGGTGGCCGCTATGTAGGCGCCCCTAGGCCAAGCAAATTACCTCTAGGCGGCCGGTCATCTAGGCGCCCGACTCGGTCGAGTTGGCCAAGTTAATTTTTTTTTAATTATATATATATATAATAGAGATCTAATGCGAAGGAGGTGTCCAGATGAAACATGTAGGTGAATGGTAGTCATTAATCTTGCTAAAATCAATCGTTTAGATTGAAAACTGATTAAAAAAATATCGTGGCAGTTTGGTCATTTTGCGTACGGTTGAAACTTAAAGTGCGTCATTTTAACCGTTAAGGTGCGCCATTTTTACATTTAAGGTGCGTCAAGTATACACTTAAGGTGCGCCATTTAACACTTAAGTTGCGTGATTTTTCCACTTAAGGTGCATCCTTGTAATAGTTAAGGTGCACCATTTTTAACACTGGTGGACCCTGTTTGGTAAAATAGTTAGTCTATCAGCCAATTTTGGCTTATTTGACCACTATTAACTTTTTGATTTGGTTAAAAAAATCAATGTAAGTGTTTGGTTAATCAGTTTTTGTAACTTCAAAATGCTAAAATTCAAAAAGCGGCTCAAAGCAACTTTTCCAATTAGCTTTTTGAGAAAAGAAATTATACCAAACAGCTATCAGCTAACGACTAATTTACCAAACATCTATCCATAATCAGCTAATGTTATCAACTAGTTATATCCTCTAACCCAATCAGATAACAGCTATCAGCTAACAATCATTTACCAAATAGGGTCATGGTGCACCACTTTAACACTTACGGTGTGTCATTTTAACGTGCGTCATTCTAACACTTAAGATACGTCTTTGTACCATATCTCATCTATATATATATATATATATATATATATATATATATATATATATATATATATATATATATATATATATATATATCCTTAACATATTTTTATATATTTTAATAAATTTAAAAATTAAATTAAATAAATAAGATAACGGTATCATATATAATTACATGATTTTAAAATATTAACTAAAATCTTAAACTTGAGAAACAAAATTATTTTATATGCTAACATAACGTAATAAAAAATATATAATATAATTACAAAAATAATAATAATAATAATAATAATAATAATAATAATAATAATAATAATAATAATAATAATAACATAAAATATATATCTTTAAATAATTAGAATTAAAATGACAAAATTTATAAATATCCAAGGTTATCTTACATTACCTAACAAAATGAAGGGAATCACATTCCCTTCAAAATCCTATGTGGAGGGAATGTTGCATACCCTGTGAATGTTATATTCCTTAGAGAATATGAACCAAACATAGAAATGTAAGCTCAGAATGTCACATTCTTTTGGTTATGTAATATAACTTGAACCAAACACCCCCTTAAGGCTAGGAGCTAGGCGCTAGGGCCTACCGCAAATATGAATAAAGGTATATATACAACATCTTAATATATACTCACATTAGTCTAACTATATGATATAGCTTAAATCAAAGCGAAAGCTACAATATAGAAATGGACAATTGGAAATGAAGGAATACCATACTTGTAATATCAGTAAACAATCAATAAATAATTCACCACTGTAAATTCCATTTCCATCTTGAAACCAGAAGTAAAGAATAACATACCTGCACCCCCTATCCCCCCCCCCCCCGGCCACCCCCAACCCTCTCCCCCCAACTTCCCAAAATTTCAAGCTCAAAAGCAAAAGCTTTCTGCTTTGAGCATTTGCATTGGAGACTGCAAACACACCTCTTGGCCCCCCCCTTTAATATTTCTCTCCCCACACAGCCCTTTTTTCTTTTTCTCTCTTTTCATTTCAAAAATATTTTTTTAAAAAATTGTGTACTTTGCATCAGTTGCATGTCTTGATCATCACAACCCAGTATTTATTTCCCCAAACCCACATGGGCTGGAGTGTGAAACTCTTAATAAACACACACACTGTCCAAGATTTTAGATGCTCAGGGAATTAAGAAATTGAAAGAGAATGGATTCTTCAGTTCTTCACCCTCCATTTTCTTGATCAGCGTTTGTAGAAG